AAAGCATTAGAAATGCTGTTTTCCGGGGTGCGGCGACAAATACAGCAGCTATTTCCGGTTTCCAAAAGATGCCGAAAAAATGAAACAATGGCTAGAAAAAGTTCGCAATCCTTTACTAAATAGCCTCAGTGTCGAGAAGGCTTATAATAATTATAGAGCGTGAACAAGACATTTTCCTCGAGAATTTATTGTTGGCGATCCAAAAGCCAGACGAGGACTCACATGGAATGCTGCGCTTTTGCTGTATCTCCCTGAAGGTAAGTTAATACTAGATATATGTGAGAAAGACGTACTTACATTTTCACTTACTCCTCCCCATAGTTCTGATTAACGACAACGTGTTAGAATTCGGGTTTAAAGGAGCATAGGTCAGAAACATTAAAATTAATTTTAATTTTAGCCCCAATTATCAAAAACAGTGAGGAGTCGTTAATTGATAAACCACAATCACCAAAATGGCAAAAAGTGGAGATCGACACAGTTGAAACTCGTCGAAGAGTCCTAAGACGCCTTCAGAAATTAGTTTCGCAACTATGATTGACATAGGTAGGTAAACATAATAACTCTGTTCCAACACGTCAAAAAATCGTCCCATGAACGGTTTCGAAACCACTCAGGTTAACAATTTTAGTTTCTGCGCAGAATCGTGACGGTACTTTGTACGGTTTTCTGCTGTGTTGGAACAAAGCTAATATTATTCATTTCTTTTTTTTAAATGTTTATTCCTTTATCAGGAGACACAATAATTAAAATATTCCTGGTTACATACAGGTACACCATATTCTACAATGCATGTATCCAAACTTTTTTGGTAGAATCATTGGTAACGAAATTTCTGTTTCAGATCAACCAGGCCCTTCATGTCGTCAATTTTTATCTACTGAAACTTCTGCAATTCGGGCAGACATTGCTACACCAAGTGGAACCATCACATCTGCAAACATGAAAAAGTCACCAACCAACTTTGTCTCTTAAAACTTTTATTGGTAGGTACCTACCTAAGTGTTATTGCTTAATGAATAACCACCCAGTTGGGAGTAGGTGAATTTTAAAACATCCTAACTCAAGTAGGACTACTACTATAAAAGACTACTAATTACTAAAACTTGCAGTCGAATGCTAGAAAAATTAGAAGCTAAATATGCGAAAAGCTGGTCTCCAATCTTGATCTATTTTTTTTTTGCAGGTCATGAGAGACGATGCCAAATTTTAAAGAACATTAACGTCACTAGGCAAAAAATTCCTATCCCCAAGGGAAAAATATCTTTATTCCAAATTTATAGAATCCAGCAATAAGTTAAGAAGAATCAGTAGAAGGTTGTCGTCATTCAAATCCAAAGTTTCTACTGCTGAATAACTTGCATCATAAACCAAATTTCAATGGCTCGTAGACCACGTCAATCCATTGATATACAGCTTTATTTTAAGCCAAGTCCGTACTCAAAACCAAAAGCTAGACGATTTACATTGGACGAGAAGTTGTTGGCGTTGTCTTTGCTTAAAGCTAGTGGTAAAGGGTATAGACTATTATCAAAAATATTTATTCTATCATCCAGGCGAAATCATTTTCTTGAATGAGCTTTATATTATGTATAACTACATAAACTTTCTACCTAACACATGCGGAAAGTGTATTTTCTGGACTTAAAGGCTTGTTTGAACTCTGCTTTTTGTTGTCATTCGTGCAACTTCCATCACGTGCAGAAACACTTTCCTCACTTGTTAGGTTAACAACGATTTTGGATTGTGAGAAAAGGACCTCTTTTGTCATTTTATTTACGATTTAAGTTTTTCATCAAGCTATTCTTAAATGTACGTCATTACTTCTTGTAACTGTCCTTATTATCTATAACTTAACTAGCATTACCTACCTATGTATGTATACTTACATGAAAAAAAACTGTTTCGCAATAATTGTAATTAATTCCATATTCTTTAATATTTTCTGTTTCAAACTTTAATAAATATCTAAATTTGTCATCTTAATTTTTAGTCAATTTTACCTTGAAGGAGCTTCAACACTACCGATTTTATGAGTTTCTTCTTTTTGGCACAATTATTTTATGCCAAAAAATGGTAGAAACTTTAAAGTGGTGGTGTTGAATCGCTAGAATCAAACAATGGTGCAAACGATCCACCGGAACAAATAAGATACCGAACGAACCCTAATTGCGTTTTGCATTCGCCAATAAATCCAGAATTACAAAAGCTTACCCCCCCAGTCACTAGAGGCGCTGAAAACTTATAGACAGGTTCTCAACACGGCACTTACCTTTCTAAGGGGGGATGTTTTGTGTTCTCCCCGTTCTCCCCAAAGAAATGATTTCGGAAAGTGAAGATGAAGCGATGGATTGTACCCCACCTGAATTAAAAGAAGCAGCAGACAGGATTGGAGAGAGTTTGCTTCCAGCAAAAAGCAAATTTCGGTACGAAAAGGCTTTTCAAATATTCGAAGCATGGTGTAGCCAGAAAGGAACGAGAAATACTGCCTCGGAGACCGTTTTGTTGGCGTATTTTGGCGAATTATCTAAGGAAAAGAAGCCTTCGACTTTATGGTCGACTTACAGTATGTTGAAAACCATGATTAAATTGAAAGAGAAAGTTGATATCTCCAATTACGCAAAACTTATAGCTTTTTTGAAGCGGCAAAATCTGGGCTTTCAGCCGAAAAAGTCGAGCGTTTTTTCCAGAGAAAACATTAACGAGTTCCTCACGAAGGCAGCTGAAGAATTCATTAGCATCAAGGTAGGTTTTCAAAAAATATACAAAGAAGATAAAAATGCGAAAATCAAAATGATTTTCTGTATGCTATAGCTAGGTTACCCATTTTATTTTTATCTGGTTTCAGGTAGCGCTAATTGTTGGTGTGTCGGGTGCATGTAGGAGCGATGAACTAGTCAAGATGAAAATGGAGCACGTCAACGTTTTGGAAGGAAAGATCGCTATAGAAATTCCACACACAAAAACTTACACAACGTTTATCATAAGCGATCCAGATTGGGTTGCTATTTTCCACAAATACCTCACTTTGCGGAAAAATTTGAAAAATGACAGGTTATTTGTTCAATGGCGAAATGGGAAATTACATAACCAAGCAATTGGCTATCATTCAATCTCAAAATTTCCACATAAAATAGCTGCTTTTTTGAAGCTTCCAAAAATTGAAACTTTTACAGGGCATGCTTTTCGTCGTACTTCCGCAACCTTATTGGTTGACAACGGGGCCGATCTATTGCAACTCAAAAGACTGGGAGGGTGGAAATCGAGCACGGTTGCTGAAGGCTACATAGAGGCATCTTTGGAGAACAAAAGTAAGACTGCTCTGATGCTATCCTCTACTTCCAAAGGTATTCAGTTGTCCAGTGCATCCACAAGTACATCACATGCGGAAACTCATCCGCAAGCGCAAGAGATAATAGTTCCAAACGAAACACAATTCCAACAGGATGGTCTCAAGATTTCCATTATAAACAACAATGCTAATTTAACAATTAATGTAAATAAGTGAATAGATTTAATTAGTTCCATGTAATACATGTGGTTTTATTATTATATGTGAGAGCTGTATGAAAATTATCAATTTGGAACGAGCAGGGAAATGGGGACGGAAAAGCATTTGCCGTCCCGGACGGAAAATGCTTTTCCGTCCTAGGCAGGCATATGCATTACCGTCCCGATAAATGTCAAAGTCCAGAAATGTGACACTTTCAAGATTTTGAAAAACCTGCAATGTCAACATTACATATGTGGTTGAAAATAAAAATTAATTTTCTTCAACCAAAGCCAAATTCACCATCGAAAAAAACTGAATTTAATTCAGTTAATAAAATCTGTTTTTTTTTTAAAGATAATTCCCCAATTCAAAAATTTAGTAACTATGTTGGCAACACAAGCCTTTTCTACATAAAAATTTTGAAAGCATTGACAATTTTACATTGTATTGCCATCATAATGTCATTTTGACTTTCATCCTTAAAAAAAAATGCACTTTAGATACGTTAACACAACATTTAATAGGTATTTAATAATTCAGAGGAGGAACGAAGTTCGCCGGGTCAGCTAGTAATTTATAAATTCACTTGGGATGCCCAATTGATATGCAGTGGATCCTAAAAACTTTTTTTGGATTCGTTCCAAGTGGGAGATGTGCACAGCATAATAAGGGGACCAGACAGGGCAAGCATATTCTACAACTGATCTAACAATTGCACAATAAATGTTTCTTATGGTGTAGATATTAGTAAAATCTTTTAGTGACCTGAACATAAAGCCTAGTAATTTCATTGCTTTATTAGCAGTTATTTCAATGTGCTCTGTGAAGCTTACATTTGTGTTGAAATAGACTCCCAAGTCTCTAATAGTTTCAACCCTGTTAATCACCAAATCATTAAGAACGTAATTATGTAAGTATGGTGTTTTTTTCCGAGAAAAAGTAATAATCTTACACTTCTCAACATTTAAGGGGAGTTTGTTTCTTTGACACCAAGTCCGAAACATATCCAAGTCCACTTGCAATAATTGAGCATCCCTGACATCCTGAACAACCATAAAACACTTCAAGTCATCAGCCAAGAGCAAAAAATCGGAATTTCTGAAGACACCTGACAGATCATTAATAAATATACTAAAAAGCAAAGGAGACAGGTGTCCTCCCTGAGGCACCCCCGAGGTCACCGGAAATACTGAAGAGATGTAATTCTCAATCTTTACAGCCTGCCTTCTACCTGTGAGAAGACTTCCAATCAAGCTCAATAGACCTCCATGCAGCCCCACATCGGCCACCTTCTCCAATAGTATCTTATGGTCAACCCTGTCAAAGGCCTTGGAGAAGTCAGTGTAGACCGAGTCAATCTGACACTTATTCTCCAACCCCTCCAACAGAGCCTCCTCATAGACCAGAAGATTAGTCAATGTAGCCAACCAGGTAGCCAACCAATGTAGTCAACCAGGATAACTATGAAAAATTGTTGGAAAATTTGAATAATAAGTTTAAGAGTGGGATGGAAGCTAAGGATAAATATATTGAAGAACTGCAGCTTAGATGTGATGAGATGGAACATAGATTCCAGATTGAACTGCAAAGGCTATCTACTGAGGTCAACGATAAAACAAGCCATATCGCTAGACTAAAAAGGCGCACCCAAGATTTTGAAGATAGTGCTTTTGAGGCGGAGAGAGAACTGGAATACAGAATGAAGAAGCAGAGTGATGAAATACTATCACTTAATAAGAACATAGTGGGCCTTTTAGGCAAAAATTCTGACGCCATTAAGAACATCAAGGACCTTGAGGACAAAAATGAAGACATGGTTAAAAAACTCCAAGATTTAAAGAAACTACATTCAGAGTTACTTACTAGCATTGACAGTCTGGAAAAGGAAAGAGATTATTATCTGAACGATTTAAAGGCCTGCAAGCTTGATTGCTTCAACATTCAAACGGGTTTACATCGCGAAAAATCACATAAGGAAACCCAATGTTATTCAAGTACCTTCGTTGAGGACGCACCTATTGAAACTGTGCCTCCCGACTCTTCCGCACCTCAGGTCTATGGAACCAGAAAAATCCTATTTTTGTCAGATGAACAAAACAGATACATGGCCAACCCTCTTCGTTCTGAATTATCCAAAGTGTCCAACAAAAAACTCAAAATTGAACATATTATTAAATCAGGTGCCCAGTTCAGTGGTGTTATTGATAGTGTAATTGACTTATCTCAGAATTTTACTAGTTTAGATTTCATTATTATAGCAGCGGGGTCAAATGACGTTAAATGGCAATGTTCCTCTTATAAAAGGAATAATTGAGGTGCTCAAAAATTGTAATCATACAAACATTATTTTTCTCTCAATTCCCTATTTATTCCCTTACAAGCTTAATTTAAGGGCGTATCATTTTAATAGGAAATTAGCCAACATAATTGAAAGATTTAACTCTGTTTCTAGTAATTCCATTTCATTTGTGAGTTCTAACTCTCCACAAGGATTCAAATTAGGATATAGGTCAATTTGTAGAGTTCTGGCGAGCACAATTTTAAATGCGGAAGTAGCAACTTGTAATAGTAATTTAATTTTTGTTGAGATTCAAGAAGATGAATTGTGTAATAATAATACCATTGTGAATGACTCTGTTTTTGAAAACCTGAGACATTCATTCGCTGATGCTTATCCAAACTCTAGCGAAAATATTTTTTTATAGCTGCCCCCCTCAATGAGGGGAAGTGTAAAAATAAGCATAAAGAGATCCTTAGGAACGAAATTATTTTTTGTAAATTGTCTGTGTTATTGTTGAATGTACAATCCTTGAGAGGAAAATGCGAGAGTCTTTTCTTGTTCCTCGAATGCATGAATTTTCCGGATATTATTTTGATTACGGAACATTGGCTCAAGCCTGGCGAGTGCTTTTGTGTTAGCGAATACGTTCTTGTTTCATCGTTCTGTAGAGAAAATTCATTGCATGGTGGTACTCTTATTTTAGTTAGGTCATCTTCGCACTTTTTTAATCATTTTGTTAATGTGGATAAGTTTAATTTTTTATTGTCAGAGAGCATTTTTGAATTTTCAATTTGTTATAGCAAACTAGATAACACTTATATTGTATGTATTTATAGATCGCCTTCGGCTCAAGTGGATGAGTTTCTTGAGCGCCTTGACATTCTTTTGTCTCAATTACCAGCCTCTTCTAACATAATTCTTGCTGGAGACTTTAACATTAATTATCAAGACAAACACTCAGTAAGCACTATTATGCTGGCCAACTTGTTAAAGTCGTATAGTCTGGATATGCATGTCAACGCACCTACCCGCATATCTAGAATCTCAGCTACGACAATTGACTACATGTGCTCTACCAGTGGCTAAGCTACGTGTGCTGTAGTTAGTGCCGGTATTTCTGATCACGAGGCGGTGATTGGTGTGTTCCCCATAGCCTCGGCCAACTTGCGACCGACGCGTCGTCGTGGCAGGATCTTCTGCTCGGCGAATTACGAGAGATTTTATCAGCTGTGCTTGGATGTGAACTGGCTCGGAATTGAGCGGTCGCCTGTTCCTTTTTCATCATTTTATACCGTCACCCGGGATGCCTTCGAGAGGGCTTTCCCTCTTAGATGGATCAAATGTAAGAGTAAGAAACGCAAGCCTTGGCTTACAAGGGGCATAAAAATATCAGCTGCAAATGTGCGGTCTCTTAACTACATGAAAAAGTTCTCTGATAATCCTAACTTCCTGGCCTACTGTAAAGCATACCTGAAAACTTATAAAAGGGTGATTAAATCCGCAAAATCAGCGTACTACGCTGAGAGGCTCGCAGGGGCGGGAAACCGACAGAGGGAGAGTTGGTCAATTGTGAACGAGCTGTGTTGCAGGCACGGCGGGCAACGCTCTCATGATATCGAGGTAGATCCAGACCGTCTAAACAACTACTACTGCAGCATAGCTGACACCCTTCATGAAAAACTGAGTCCTGCTCGTGACCCACTTTTGTTTTTGAATGGTTTCTCTCTTCGCGATTCTTTTTCATTTTTTCCTACTGACTTGAACGAGGTCAGTGATACTTTGGGCAACATCAAGAATAGGAGGGCTTGTGGGCACGATGAAATCTCGGTCGAGGTGCTTCTTGCCTGATGCTGCCCTGAAAGCGCTGGCCTTCTCCATTAACAGCTCGTGGAGCAGTGGTCAGTTTCCGGCGTGTTTGAGGGAGGCTGTCGTTATTCCATTGCACAAGAGAGGTGACCGTGATAATCCTTCTAACTTTCGTCCCATATCGCTTCTGCCTGCGCTTTCCAAGGTTTTCGAGAAAATTGTCAAAAAAAAAGTTCTCAGCTATCTTCAACGACACAATTTAATTACTCCCTACCAATTTGGTTTCCTAAATGCGAAGGGGACTCATGATGCCATTTTTTCCTTTTTGGAACACGTGTACCAGCACATTAATGCGGGAGAGGCGGTGTCAGCGGTATTTTGTGACCTATCGAAGGCTTTCGATTGTGTCGAACACGGAATTCTGCTGGCCAAGCTAGAGTGTTACGGCTTCAGGGGCGAGGCTCTTCAATGGTTTGCCTCTTACCTTGGTGGACGCAGGCAGTCTGTGGTTGTTCCCGGCGCCAGGTCTTCAGCACTTGAGGTGCGTCATGGGGTCCCTCAGGGATCGGTGTTGGGTCCTTTGTTGTTTCTGGTCTATGTCAATGATCTGTCCTTGGTAAACATTACTGGGAGATTCACTTTTTTTGCAGACGACACATCTATTGTATGGCACGACAGAGATACTGATCAATTGAGGTACCGGATATCGGAGGATCTGGCAATGGTCAAAAGCTGGTGCAGTGCAAATCTCCTCTCTTTTAACGTCGCCAAAACTAGCCTTGTTTGTTTTAGGGGTGGTGTCCGGGAAGTGAGGCTGGAGGGTGAGGATCTGCAGGCCAAATTAGAGAATAGGTTTTTGGGTGTTCATATTGACTCTTGCTTGAAATTTGAGTCCCATATCATGGGATTAAGCAGTAAGCTGTCCTCGGCATGTTTTGCCATAAGAACTACTAGATTTGAGCTTGGTTTGCTAGTAGCGCGGACAGTCTACTTTGCTCTTTTCGAAATCCACCTACGCTATGGCATTCCATTCTGGGGTGTGGCTTCCCAGAATCTACTGAATATTATCTTTCTTCTGCAAAAAAAAGCTGTTCGTGCCATTGTTAATGTTGGTTACAGAGACTCATGCAGACCCCATTTTATTTCTCAAAAGATTCTTACTCTTACTGGTCTCTTCATTCTTGAAACTGCATCGATTATTTTTAAGAACCCAAGAAATGACCGTGATCCTGTTCGTGTACGCATCACTCGGCAAATTCATGACCTTCCATTGCCGATTCCCTCAAGCGCACTGGTGCAAAGGTCAATTATTTATGAGGGAAGAAAAATATTCAACCACCTTCCCGTCGTGATCAGAAACGCGCGGGGCTTGAAGCAGTTTAGAAAAATTCTCAAGACGTTTCTCATCGAAAAGGCCTACTACAGAACTGAGGAATATTTTAATGATGACACCATTTAGTGCTCTGGTGCTTTTTGTGGCTGATGGTGCTTGTATAATTTGCATATTTTTGTTTGTTTTTTTTTTTAATGTTTTTTTTTGTGTGTGTTTATTCGACGGTTTCTTACCTATTTATGACTTACCTATTTATTGTTATTCACCTAGAATTAGTCTGCTTTGTCCGCAAAAATGTTTATTTTTTTTTGACAATAAAGCACATTTGATTTGATTTGATTTGATTTGTAGATCTACCGTTAATTAAGCCATGCTGCTCTGGTACAATAACATGTTTCAAAATTGGTGTAAGAAAATCCGTTATTATAGACTCAAATACCTTAGAAAAAATAGACATTTTGGATATGGCCCTATAGTTTTTAATATTATTTCTTTCTCCACTCTTAAACACAGGAGTTATATAGCTTAATTTCCACATATCAGGAAACCGTCCCAACTCTAAAGCCTTATTGAATATTTTACATAATACCTCTGAGAGAATACAACTACAATTCTTAACAAACAATACTGGGATGTCATCTGGACCACAACCCAATCCATTCTTCAATGAATGTATCTTGTTAAATATATCAAGAGGGGTAATTTGAACTGAACTGATACTGCAATTAGACAAACTAGATAAATTAGAGACAGGAATGTTTCGATCACTCTCAACACTCACCTCAGTATAAACTGAGGAAAAACTATCCTTAAAGAGATTGACAATTTCATGAGGTGTGCTACCTTCATGCTCATCAAAAAACATAGAACTGGGATATCCACGATTTTCATTTTTCGATCGTACATATCTCCAAAATCCATTTCTGTCCTGTGTCTCGGACTCGATTTTCTCAATGAAATTCCTATGGCTGATATGAGAATAAATTTTACATTCTTTCCTAATTTCTGAAAAAAACTCTATAATCCTGAGCGGACATGGTATTTTTATAGTTTTGATGTGCCTTTTTTTTAGACAAAATTAAATATTTTAAATGATTATCCATCCATCTTGGAAATTTTGCTGTTTTTCTTTTTGAAATGGGTGTAAAGATCTCAATAGCATGATAAATTTGATTATAGAAAGTTTCGACAGCAGAGTTTATATCATCCATATCAACAAAAGAGTCCCAATCCACACAAGACAGATAAATATTTAAATCCCCAAAATTACAATTCTTATAATCTAGAAAACAATAATCATACTCCAACTTATTAGAATTAATATTTGAAATCAATACATCAAAAACCAAAGCAGGATGAGTTGTGTCCAAATTCAAAAGTGGATCGTCTGATATTGAGGTACATACATCTTTATTACTACAAAATATCAAATCCAGAAAGTTCCCATAAATATTAGAAATATTATTCACTTGATACAAGCTGTGGAAAGCCATGCAGTCAGCCAACTCTGTGGTTTGTTCAGATTGTTTACCAATAGCCCTAGTCCCATGCAAATCATTGATCCACGACACATCCGGTCTATTAAAATCTCCACATAAATAAATTTCCAAGTTTTGACAACTACTACATATTTCCAACGCAGCTGTTACGGATGAGAAGTAACTTTCATAGGTATCCATAGGAGAATGATTGGGTGATTTGTGTCACATGACAATAAATAACAAAATTCAACTGGCTGTTAGAACTATCAAAAAATTTTCAATAGTAATATAACTAGTGCAATGGAAATTATTGATAATTTTTGGGAAATTTGCCCGAATGCATTTCACGTAGTGCACGTAGTGCACGAGTGCCTTTTTCAGTTAAAAACGGATGAGTGCAAATTTGTCGAAAA